TGCGACACAGCAGACCTAGTAATTGATTCAATATAATCTTTCCAGTCAGCGAAAAACATTAGGTTGAAAAGGCACAATAGATTAGTATTGATTAGGCACTCTAAGGGAGAAATTAAAAAGAAAAAAAAAGTTTTTTTACATTTTCAGAAATTATGTCCTATGAGAACATTTGTTTTGGCTTCTACAGGGAAAAAGTTTAAAAATAATTTATATTATAAATCAGACTCCCCCTATTAACTTTTGTAAAATTTAATTTTTAAAAATTCCATATAGTCAAGGCGATAATGCCACCAGTACGCAGGAGGTTACAGAGTGTGAAGGAGAGAGACGAGACTGGGAGACTGAGGAAAGGATAAAAGCTGAACGTGGTTCAAGTAGATAGAAGATGGCGATTGACGTTGCATTTTAATTTTTAAACAGTGTGGTTATTAGGGAGGTAAGGAAACGGAAAAAATTCCACATGTAAGAAGTACGGGAAAATAAACTTTTGGGGTAGAAGTAGCGGTTGAATTATGTTATTGCAACAGTAAAACGGTGGGACCTAATTGCCAACCTAGTAGCTCACTTAAATTCATGTATTCGGAGCATCAGGGAAAAAAAGTTCGTCAGTTGTGATGAAAATATTTGTAGAGTGAAGTCATGGTGAGAAAGTGAAGGAAGTCGAGATGCCTGATCTGAAATGGGTTTAACATATAAGAATATAAAAAGAGTTTTGAAAAAAAAGGCATTCAGGTTTTAGTGCCTGTTGAAGAACTCGATTCACAGATTTTACATGTCTTTGCTTGTTGGAGATGCTTTTTGCTATGAGTTCTAATAAACTATTTTTAAAAAAAAATTTATTATTGAAAGATTTTGGCTTTTCACGATGGTCATACATTTAATAGCAGCCAAAGAAAACATAAGTTAAATTATATCAGAAGCCTATTTTAAAGTAGAAATTAAAATGAATAATTAATGTTTATTATTTGTAATTAAGATAATAAAATTTAAGTGTTCCTAATTGATGCAACTGTTAGTAATTCAGAAAATGCAGTTAAACTGAAATTGAAATTACAGTCGGAATTTCTATCATTTGTGATAATATCTTGAAGGAATATATTCATACATGCGTGAATTGCTTGTTTTATCGCTAGTCATGATAACATATACTTTTCACTATCTTGTTTGAATCATATATGAAATAAGGACAATGCTTAGTCTCTTCTTCTTTGTCTCTTCATGACGTAGGCGATTATGGCTGTCGACAATATCCTGTCATTTGTGGTCCTTTGCAGTGTTTCTCCTTGCCAAGTCACCGACCCCTTTCTACCATCCATTCACACAAGCTCGTCAGGTACGTAACCTGCTGCATTACCTTATCTCTCTTGCTCTCGATATGCCATGTGAGGATTAAGCTTTCCAAGCCTTCCTTCCTTATTATGTGTCCCAGTAAATTTCAACTGTGAGGAACGAGAAGACACACCTCCCGCAAAGCGAATTTGTTTGGCGTGTCAGGTCTTGTTGAAAGATCGCGACCGCCATTAAAAATGAAATGGATTATTCCGAAATTCCTATCTTGAGTGCAGATGTACAATGGAAAAAAAACAAAAAACAAACAAACTAAGAATTGAAACCAGTTTGAATTTATAAAATAGGAAGTCTCGCGCGAACGAGAATTGAGTCTCGGATGCAAATATTAGCTCAAGTCCGCCCCCAACCGACGCAGGCATAAATAGCGAGTCTATGAGGTGGGGGGGATGAAAAACTTTGGTCGGCGTGACATAGACGAACGGGAAAGAGAGAAGAAAGAAGAGGTCTGTTGCTTGAAAGCAAGCACCTCAATCAATTTCAGTTATCGCAAACGACTCGCGAACTAAATTAGCCATATCAACTCACTTTGATTTGGGGTATAAGTGTTCTTTTTTTATATATTTTCTTTCTTGTTGCTTACTCACTCCGTCCATTGAATTCTCAGCATCCTTCTGTAGAACTACATTTCTGCTACCTCCAGTTTTATCCTCGTCTGAGGGGAGATTGTCCAGCATTCACTGCCACACAAGAGGATTGATGCCACATAGCAATTCAGAACTCTTTTCTTTGCGTTCAGCGAAACGGGAATTCAGAAAACATTGATAAAGAATGTCGTAGAACGTATCAGTTGTAACGTAACGATCAAAACAACACAAATAAAGATAATAGTTTGGATAGTTTATAGAATAAGGTCAGATGTGATTAATTTTGATTCTGTATAAATGAGCGATTTTTGACAAACATGGACAAACGTGCCCGCAATAAAATATATTATCAAAAGGACGGTTTTTCCCATAACACCGCTTTTTGAACTACCTATTCTCTTCAGCAATGTTTATTTTTAAAAAGCAATGATTAGAGTTGTTATAAAAGAAACATATGAAAGTAAATTTATACATTTTCTTTGTTCTTGAGAATTTCCAACAAAAATAACGAACACTATTTTGATTTACCAGAATAATTTTATATTTTCAACATTCTAAACATTAATACGATTAAAACTAATGCAATGCAATATTTATCATTCATAAAGAAATAAATATGAAAACAATGTTTTATTCATAAATTTGCTAAATTATTAAAATATGCGAACCAACTATAAGGAAATCTTTGCCATTACAGAAAGTTTGAATCATTTGGGAATTAGCCGACGTTTTGCCATCAAATGTAATAAATAATATATTAAATAGTGTAAATAAACAATCTAATGAATAAAACGTATTTATTATTTTTGTTGTCAATTCACAATAACAAAGAAAATGAATAACTTCACTTACATTATATGTTGAGTTTTTATTGTAAATCTAATCATCGGTTTTTAAAACAATAAACATTGCCCAAAAGTGAAGGGAGTTAAAAAAGCGGTGTCATGGGAAAAACCGTCCTTTTTGACATTGCGGGGAATTTTCCTCCATGTTTGGCGTGATTTTAACTAAGTAAGTTATTCATTATCGTGCCTATAATTACTAGCAGTAGAACATTATAGAAATGACATTCTTTTTCATGGCTATTCATTGAAAAGTTCAAACAAGTGAGCACAGACTGAACTCGATTCTGCACTATATAAAAAGATATTCCTAAACAGAACTATTTTTGATATGAAAATCAAAACAATCCTCGAATAAAAGAACACTAATGAAGGACAGTTTATTAATGAAATAATCATTTTTTTTAAATCAATATGCAAATTACCCCAACCTGAAGAATGATGGTGCCTAGAAGTAGATAATATATAATACAGATATTGAGCCAGTAGCATATAAATCCCTCTTTGGAGGTATTTTAATGCAGACTTATCATCTCTCAGTTGTCCTTAGACAGAGTGCGCTCAGGGGCAGCTGAGGAAAATTATACTGAAGAGGTGCCCAGCCCTGGGGAACAGCTGTCCGAGGCCGCGCACTCCCATTGCACAAGAGGGAGGGATCGGTGCTCACACCCAGGTCAGCGCAACCGACGGTTGCGGGGGCTGAGGGGAATTTTTGACCCTGCTCGGGTGTACGCGCTCAGGTCTCCACATTAAACCGACCTTGTGTTACATCTTGTTCTAGTGGAGGAACGAGTAAACACCGCATATAAATCACTATAAAGTAGAGTTTGGTCGTTTTAATCTCACTATTTGAGGGAGAATTTCCAAATTCGCATTTATTCAAATAGATTCCATAGTGTAGATTTTACTTGATTAACTATTATCTTTCTCTAACTCTACAAATGTTGAATGTAGAACTAATTTTTATTTTTACATTATACTAATTTTATCTTATAAATATATATATATATATCTCCTATTCTGTCATCCATGAAATAATTGTTTGTACGAAAAATACATCAAATTGTCTTTAAATTAAGTGGAAGAAGAATTATCATTGAACTTTTAAAAGGTAAGTTTAAATATTAATTAAATACTTAAATGCAGCTATCAATTTTGAGTTCTTCTGTAGTTTATTGACGCCTATTGCATCTACTTCTCCTTAGCTATTGTGATATATATATATATATAATCTATTCAAAAATTATAACATAAACATGTTATAACAGCACTACACAATAGCCATTTTGTTTCAACACTTCTGATGTCTTCTCAAGTGAAGATGTTGAATGAAGAAACATCACTTGATACAATATCGTCACTTGATAAAACACCAGAAATATTGAAACAAAGCGGCTATTTTTGTAGTGATTGTAGTCATGGAGCACTCTTTTAAGAATAATATTTTTGGTGACTGGAATTTATTCCGTCTACACCAATTCTATACTTGTACATATATATATATATATATATATATATATATACAAGTATAGGATTGGTGTAGACGGAATAAATTTCAGTCACCATATATATATATATATAGATACATACATACATACACACATATATATATATATATATTCGACTATATGAGGGTCAAGCAGATCAGTTCCAAGGAAGATTTGATTATAGTGTTGAAGACTTTGTTCAGAATCATCTACAAGGTTGAATACAAAGACCTGGTGCACTATGTGCCACAAGGTCCCCAAACGACCCTCCGAAGGTTATGAATTCAGAGTTGTCTTTCTTGCCATCCAAGGCATTTTCCTATAGCTGAAGGGATAAGACGAGAAGCACGTAAGTGAATGTAATGTTTTCGAGAGGAATTCGAACTCGGCTCTCCGATTCCCCAATCCAAGCCGCTATCCATTACTCCACCGTGCCGTATGTATGTATGTATGTATAAACAGTAAAGACAGCAGGCAGCATTAAATCCGGTATTCATAGAATGACACATCGGGTTCATATAGATAAGTGGCAGGTCCAGATAGTGTGAGTGCAGATTGACTTAATCAGTGAATGGAAAGGTTCGTGTCCGGAGACGGGTTACTACCTGTTTTTGCGAAATACAGCAAGAAATATCATATCGCTGTGTCATGCAGACAGACCTGTCTTAAATTTCATATGGATCAATCGTGAATAAGAGACGGGTGACAAATTCTACTGACATCATTGTTTTGCATACCTGTTTCTCTGAACAGTCATTTTGAGGTGACGCTTCGTTTTGTTTCCGACCTTCAACTCTGAGCATTAAATTGAGCACGATTTATACTAAGTCGGATCGATTTCAATAGAGATAAAAAAAACAAACTCGATGATTATCAATCATATTTCATAATAGATGTGCCCGGATGTTGAATGATTTGGTTTCTTTTGATTTTAATACGTTAACTATTTGTTGTTTTCTTAAGTGATTAGTCATTCAGTTGCATAGCAGTCTTTTCATAATGTTAATACTTAATACTTTATTAGTGTTAGAAATGCCTTCAGCATTTATGGTCGTCGGTGTGCAAGATCAATTACAAGTGAGCAGAGTGTTCGATTCTCACTGGGTGCTCCACACTTTCGGCCTTGTGCCACACCTAAGCTACGCTTAGAAAGTCATTTTGTCCACTTCGACGTGGTGTAAATGGTTAGCAAGCTTGTCTCGCTGGATCAATTACGAATGAGCAGTAAGTTCGATCATCACTAGGTCCTCCACACTTTCGGCCTTGTGCCACACCTAAGCTACGCTTAGAAAGTCATTTTGGTCACTTCGACGTGGTGTAAATGGTTAGCAAGCTTGTCTCGCTGGATCAATTACGAATGAGCAGTAAGTTCGACCTTCACTGGGTGCTCCATACTTTCGGCCTTGTGCCACACCTAAGCTACGCTTAGTATGTCATTTTGGTCACTTCGACGTGGTGTAAATGGTTAGCAAGCTTGTCTCGCTGGATCAATTACGACTGAGCAGTAAGTTCGATCTTCACTGGGTGCTCCACACTTTCGGCCTTGTGCCACATTTACGATACACTTCGAAAATCTTTTTTTTTTAAATACTTGGATTTTCCCGGGAAAGTTTCAAAATAATATTAGCTCAAAACCCTGGGGAGCCATCCCCACGTCCAGGCAGTACTTCTCCCTCGGGAGCGGGCTGTGGTTTATTACCTGGCACCTGAGGCGTCCCAAAAAGTTGAAGTGTCGAGGAAGTATTGCCAGTAAACCCAGTTTAAATTCATCTTGTGTCACATTCGTTAGCGACGTGGGCACACTAAAAAATATCCTTTTTTAATCCGGCGGTGCGGTTTCGAATTCGATATATCGCCAATTCAATTCACTCAGAGATAATACATTGAAAAATCTCACTATAACTGCATTTTTCAGGAAGTTGCCGATCATGGTTCTCCACAGCTTCTTATTCTTTGTAGCTCTTAGCATTGCTTGTCCCTTTGCTATCCATCCTAATTTCTGTTCTGCTATGAATTTTCATAACCTTATTAGATAGGTTAGTTGATGTTCCTTCTGCCTACCTTGCATTGAATATATCTTCTGAGTGTTCATTTCTCCAAACACTCTTTCTTCATTATGTGTCCCAAACATTTCAACTCTCTCTTTCTGTACAAATATCTTTTTGTTCTCGTTTTACTTCCTCTTGCCAACATGCGCCATCTATGATATTCTCATCGTCCTTCTGTAGAACCATTTCTCTGCTGTCTCAAATCTGTGAGGAAATTCTCGAGCATTCACTGTCAAATATGAGATTAGATATTACGTAGCAGTTGAACCTTCTTTTATTGGTTTCTAGCAAAATTTTCCTGTTTCTTAATACTTTGTTAATCTTTTAGAAATAACTGAGATAAACAGATATTAACAGAATGAGATAGATAGATAGATAGATATGAACAGAATGAGATAGATAGATAGATAGATAGATATGAACAGAATCAGATAGATATGAACAGAATCAGATAGATAGATAGATAGATAGATATGAACAGAATCAGATAGATAGATAGATAGATAGATAGATAGATACATAGATAGATATGAACAGAATGAGATAGATAGATAGATAGATACATAGATAGATATGAACAGAATGAGATAGATAGATAGACAGATAGATAGATAGATATGAACAGAATGAGATAGATATGAACAGAATAGATGGATAGACACGTATTAACAGGCTGTGATAGATAGATAGATAGATAGATAGATAGATAGATAGATAGATAGATAGATAGATATGAGCAGAATCAGATAGATATGAACAGAATGAGATAGATAGATAGATAGATAGATAGATAGATAGATAGATAGATAGATAGATATAGATAGATATGAAGTGTGGGATGTTATGTAAATTTCTCTACAACAGAACCATGTTGGTCAATTGAATGAAATGTCTTTTGATCTCTAAAAGGACTTCCTAACACTAAAGTAACGATGGAATTTTGTCTGTCGGAGTAAGACTGGAATTCAACCGTAACCATTTTTTTTTCATAATTATGCACCGAGAATAATCACTGAAGATGTGTTGAAAGTAAAATTTAAATTTTAAAATTTCTAGCGCGTGATTGTCGAGACGCAACTCTTTCAACAGTTTCTTGTTGTTTCCCAATATTTTTCTTTTTCTTCTTATCGCTGTAAATGTACCAAAACTGCGACAATAGAACGTTTGTTAAGAAAGGTGGAATCTCGCTTGGCTTGAAAATATTGCAAATTTAAAATTCAGCCCCCCTACAACTTTAAAGTTTCTCTTAGGTGCTTAATTATAACACGCCCCCACACACACACATACATATGTGTGCTTGTGTGTAAGTGTGTGTGTGTTTTATATAAAGATAAGAACAGTTGATAGATAGCTTTGTCTGGAGATGCTTGACGCTTTCCGTGTCGAGTGCAATGTCGTTCGCGAATCGGATGTTAGTAAGTAGCTCGCCGTTGATCCACACGTACGGCTCAATTCAATGACCGTCACAACCATCTCGAAATCAAGTCGTGAAGATCTTCGGGGAGATGACACCCTATCTAGCGCTCTTCTTGACTGGATAGATATGAAATGAAATGATCGAGATAGATAGATAGATAGATAGACAGACAGAGATGAAGAGTTTTATATTGCTTGATAGATATTAACAGGCTGTGATAGATAGATAGATAGATAGATAGATATGAATAAACTGGGATAGATAGATAGATAGGAATGAAAAGACCGATAGATAGATAGATAGATAGATAGATAGATAGATAGATAGATAGATATGAAGAGTTTTAGATTGTTAGATATAAACAGGCTGTGATAGATAGATAGATAGATAGACAGTGATGAAGAGTTTTATATTGCTTGATAGATATTAACAGGCTGTGATAGATAGATAGATAGATAGATAGATAGATAGATAGATAGATATGAAGAGTTTTAGATTGTTAGATATAAACAGGCTGTGATAGATAGATAGATAGACAGACAGAGATGAAGAGTTTTATATTGCTTGATAGATATTAACAGGCTGTGATAGATAGATAGATAGATAGATAGATAGATAGATATAAACAGGCTGTGATAGATAGATAGATAGATAGATAGATAGATAGATAGATAGATAGATAAACTTCTTATATTTCTTTCTTGTCCAAGATGCATGTAAATGTCTACCTCCTCTATTTCATACTCATCGGCCATCATTCATCCAGGAGCCACACCTTCTGGTCGCTTGTACTTAGTTTCCGCACTTCAGACCCACTCTCGAGCCTTTGGTGTCCAGCTCACTTAGTTTTGTCTGAAGATGCCCGGTGCTTTCCGTGACGATTGCAATGTCGTTTGTGAATCGGATGTAAGTAGCTCACCGTTGATCCACACGTACGGTTCAAGTCAATGACCCTCACAAACCATTTCGAGACCACGTCGTAAAGATCTTCAGGAAGATCACGCCCTATTTGGCACTCTTCTTCACCGGGACACACACGAGTGATGACAATAGGGCTATAATAATAATAATAATAATAATAATGGGACTACACAATACACACTGACAGAACAATCAAAGCCAACCGTCCAGATATTGTTATTAAAGACCACAAAAAAAAGTGCCTCCTTATTGATATGGCAGTCCCTGCTGACTGCAATGTGTCTTTGAAGATATTCAAAAAGCTGTCAAAATACAAGTACCTTGAAATATAAATCTCGAAAATGTGGCACATGGGAACATTAACAATTGTAGTTGGAACCCTAGGATTGGTTGGAAAAGATTCGAGTAGACTAATTGAAAGGATTCCTGGAAGTCTATGCCTCAAAGTGATACAAAAAATTGTTCTGACAAGTACAGCCCACACTTTACGAAGGGCTTTATCTATGTAATATTTTTTTTTGTCAGTGGAGAGTGTCATGATGCCATTTCTAACCTTAGGTTCCTGGGCGGGACCCGGAAAGAAATGTGTAAACGCCAGAAATCAAAGAAAAACAACAACAACAACAACAATAATAATAAAGTGCAAGAAACTGGTATGAACACGAACCATAGCCGGTTACAGAGATAGAACCTATAAAAATTTTATGGGACTTTACAATACACACAGACAGAAGAATCACAGCTAATCGCCCAGACATCGTGATCAGAGACCACAAGAACAGAATGTCTTATTGACAGGACAATTCCTTCAGACTTTAACGTATCTTTGAAGATCCTTAAAAAAAAAAAACTATCAAATTACGAGGATCTTGAAATCGAAATCTGAAAAAATGTAGCACGTGAGGACATCAATAATAACAGTTGTAGTTGGAGTCCTCGCTTTGTTTGGAAAAGATTCCCTTAGGCTCATTGAAGTGATCCCTACCAGCCGAAGCCTTAAAGAAATACGAAAAATTGTTCTCACAAGTACAGTACACACAGTATGAAGATCTTTATCTCTGTAAAATATGTCTGATCATTTTTCTTTTACAAAAAGGATCATTGGAAAATGTCATGAAACCATTCCTAAATTTAGGTCTCTGATTGAGACCCGGAAAGAAATGAGTAAACACCAGAAATAAAAGGGAATAATAATAATAGTGGCACGTGAGGACATCAATAATTCCAGTTGTAGTTGAAGGCCTCGGATTGACTGGAGAAGGTTCCGATAGACTCAATGAAGGGATTCCTGGTAGCCTATGCCTTAAAGAAATACAAAAAAATGTACTCACAAGTACAGTCCAAACCCTAACAAGGGCTTTATCTGTGAAAATGAGTGAGATCTTAGGGTCTGTTTTTATCTAAAAAATGCCCAGCGGAAAATATCGTTAAACCATTTCTGACCTTAGGTTGCTGGTTGGAACCCAGAAAAAATGAGTATACACCAGAAATCAAAGGAAAGCATAAAATAATAATAAATAATAATAATAAATAAATAAATAATAATAATTAATAATAATAATAAATAAATAATAATGATAAATAAATAAATAATAATAATAAATAATAAAAAATAATAATAATAATAATAATAATTGTACTATAGTAAATCGTTGAAAAATCAGAAAGAAGTAATAGTTTTTCTTGTGATGTTATTTGTACTCAACGAAAATATTCGATTGTAACAGAGAAAAGTAACATCCGATGTTTGATTTTTTTGGCTCAGTTCGCAAATCTTTTCTCATAAAAGTTTTTTTTTTTAGAACATGAAATCCTTTTAAGAGAACAAACGTAAAACTACATTTTAAACCAAAACAACTTTAAAAAAAAAAATCAAAATGCTAGAATTCGTCGAAAATGTTATTAAAAGCAAACCTTTTTTAGCTATAATCTTTATTTCTCCACATAAGCACCATCAACACAAAAGCGAGGATACCAACCGTATATAACAATCCCAGAAGAACAGAGGTTACCGAAAATTTAACCATATCAAAGCAGAACTTTTCTATCAATAGAATGACACATGTAGAAATCCTCATAGTATATAGAATTGTTGAATTATCGCTAACGTTTGATTTACAAATTCTACGATTTGTTCAATTTCGAAACCAATCCATGAAATTTGAATAAGCTGATTTGTTTCGAAAAATACTTTGACAAAAACCCTGTTTCGCAGTTTAATACTTTCTTTAATTTAATTCAATTTTATAGGATATCATAACAAACAATATTTTTTAAGAAAATTTTCTTTTTTAACAGCGAAGAACAAATTTTTAATATTTCTTACTCTTGAGCATGCAACATACATCAGGCCATGCATAAAAATTTCTTTCTGGAGCTAAATTTTAACTTTTTGAAGTGTTTAGCCATCTGATTTGTTTATAGTTCTCGCAAACGCAAGGCAAACTGGAAACTGGATTCTTATCCATTCGAAAGTATATTCGGATGGTTTAGGAGTAAACTTTCTTTGTACACCTTTAGTCAGTTCTATGCGGGATACACACTTAGGCGATCATGTATCTTTCGATACATGACTGATGAAGCAGATCCCCCCCCACCCCAGTAAGCTGTCATCTCTTTCTGTGGTAGACCAGTTGCCATCCAAGTCTATATTTAACTATAGCTGGGAGGAGAAGAGGATTCAGGTAAGAGGATTCATATCTTTCCCAAGGGTATTAGCACGTAAGTGAATGTAATGGATTCAACTGGAATATATATATATAATTGATTGTAGAGATAAAAATCCGGGGTTACATACAGAAAGAAATATAAGGCATACACCTTACTTTAGGACGCATTTCTGAAATGAATTTATTATTGTAAGTAATGATGAGTAGATCTCAAAATAACGCAGCTTCTGATTTTCTGTTTTCTTCTTTTCCATCACAGCTGAATGACAATAAACAGTTATCGAAGTAACTTTAAGATTTGTGAGAAGAATTTGAATAGTTGTTAGTATGGGGTGCTTTCCTAATTTTCTTCAAATTGTTACTGTTGATATTTTGTAGGTTTTTGAAACTCATAATGAATATTCGTATCCCTGGGGGTAAAACTTTTTTGAAATTACCGTTGCGTTGCTTGCTCATTAGTAGTCCATTCACTAAACAGAAAATTGATTCTCCTGACTGCTTCAGCTGCACTGTGTTTAAATTTAAACTGATATAACTATTACAATATTAGGTTGGCCAGAAAGTCTTCTCTCACTTTGGAAACGGAAAGAAAACAAAATCTTATGAAGCAACACCAACACTTATTGTTCAAAATAAAGTCTACCACTCTTGACGATCTTCTGCCAGCGGTCAGTCAGTATCCGAATCTGTCCCAGATACCCCTCCGCTGGCTTTGATTCAAAAACTGTAAATATGCTTCCTTCACTTCATCCAAAGAGTTGAATCGCTCTCGCGGAAGAAGTGTGCCATTGAGCGGAAAAGGCCATAGTCACTCGGGACTGAATGGTGAATGTGGAAGAATCTCAACACCATCCACCTGTTTGAACTTCTCCTTAGTCAACCTGGCAGTGTGTGCTCCCGCATTGTCTTTTTGAAATAAAAGATTGGCCAAAGCAGGATACTCTTTCTTTAGTTTGTCGTACACTTGGTCTAGCCACTGACAATACAGTTTAGCATTGATGGCACGACCGCGTAGAATAAGCTCAAAATGCAGTACTCCTTGGAAATTCCACCAGACAGAGATCAAGATTTGTTGTTTTCTTTCCGCTTTCTAATTGAGCCAAGACTTTTTGGTCAACCTTATATAATGCCCACCTACGTTAATTCATCTGGTATTAAAGCCTAATCCGACAGTAGAACAACCAGATTACCAACAGCAAATAAGGTAATATATTTTCAAATTTTCTTAACCCCCCACCCCGAGGAGCATAGGCCCACAGCCACCTCACACTACAAATACCTGCTACTGTTTCCGTAGCAAATAGTCTACCATAAAACATAAAATAATATAAATATATATATATATATATATATATATATATATATATATATATATATATATGTCTATCTATATATATATATATATATATATGCACGTTTTTTTGTAGAACTGACTCCCAAGTGGATGTTTCCCCATATCACCATAAGATTAACCTGTTTAAAAATAGGTTAACCGTTAACTTCCCCGCACATCCCAATAAAACTGTGCTTCTTATTCTGTGGCCAACAGCCACTCCAGATAGATCTCGAGTGGCTCTTGGCCCTTGTACAGGGTGAACATCATTGTGAAAAATTACATTTTAAAGGGAACAGAATATTTTTCTCCAAGGGCCGGATGTTTTAGTCTCAGAGAACCAAACAACAATGTGGTACAACCTAATACAATTTGTGTGAGAAGAGAAAGAAAGAGAGAAAAAGAGATATAGACACAGAGGTATAGGGGGAGGGATAAAAATAAATGGATAGAGACAGACAGAGAGATTGTAAATGATCTTTCTTTGTCTTTCTTTCATCTAGCGTCACTTCTTCTTACACTCCTCAGGTCCATATCTCTTTCTTCGCTCTTCTTCCTCTCATTTTATTTCTTCTTTAGTCCCCCTCTCGCTTTCTTTCTTCTGCAGTTTTCTCCCACTTTCTATCTCTGTCGTCTCATTTGAACTTTCTTCTGTAGTTTGTTGGGGTACACTTAAATCATAGCAGCAGAAATTAGCCTCGTGTCCACGGAAATAAAAACATACTTCCCAGGAAATGAAATGCACACAAATAACAGGAAAAACATAGTAAATTGTATGTTAATTTCATGCAAT